AAAAGTGTTTAACACACCATAATCGCCATCCTTTTGCTATTTAATCCATCCAATCTCGAGTCGATACGCAGGGTATTTAAGTCATTTCATTGTTTGCTAATACTAGGTTTTCGGTTAGCTGACTTCATGCACAGCTGGTTGACAAAAGGCATACAGTGGTTGCCGAAGTTGAAATATGTGAAAAGAACCTGTCTCAATATTCATTTATGTATTAACATTAAATTATACGTCGACACAACTCAAAATCCTTAAAAAAATTAAAAAATAATAATAATAATATAATTCACACTATATATTTCATAATTTATACATAATTATTGCCTGCACTCATGCATCTGAATCAAAATAAATAACTCCAGACTTTTTAGATAGGTTAATCGAGGAGCAGACCGTACTTATCACAGGGTCTTGACACACTAAAATTTCAAAAACATTTAATTCTTTAGAGTTATAAAAAAAATTAATATTTTGTCTCTTTATTTTTTTTTTCAAAAATCCGTGCCTTAATTAATATATAAGCCCTCTTAATGTCCTAATGAGAAAAAGCACACTTAATCTCTTTAGACTTTACAATGAAAATCTACGGTTGATAGAAATTTTGTAGGTACGAAAAGGGTATGATCATGGTGACGTGAACTGAGGGTCCACCGATTGTGGATCGACACGCGTGGTTCTCAAACAAGACAGGAATGGACACGTGGGGTATATGCGGGGCCCACACAAATGGTGATAATATGGAGGTGGAGAGAGGAGATAAGTTTGACAAAAGCCTTTGTTTACGCATTCAGATGTCATGCATTTGATATGCAAAATGCCACCACCAAAAAGAAAAAGGAATCATAAGGAAGAAACAGAAGCCAAATAGCCAATTCTTTGGTGGGCAGCACCAGGAGAACCACGACATCAGAGTTCAGAGACATTAGTGATTAAAAGCAAAAATCAAATCACATCGGTCGTGAACAGTCGGGCCTTGCTTGTCAGTTAATCGGTCGTTCAAAATTCTGATCATGTTTTGTCGCACATGTCTTCGATTGAGATTAAACAACTTAAAAATGCCAGCATATCTCGTCTTTATCTTTTAAAATTCAACTCTGTAAAGATAAAAATCTTTATATTTATCTTGTTAGGTCTTTGACCAATGGTCATATCGAATTCCCATTTTATGATTGACCCCATTAAAGAATCAGTAATTACTCTTAATTCTAAATAAATTTTATATCATGGTATTTTTGGTTATTTATATTATTTAATTAAATCAAATTAAAAATTTAATTACGAGAATTATATATATATATATATATAATATAGGGTAAACTACATGTTTAGACCTAAAAATTTATTTTTGTTCAATTTTGATATCTAAATTTTATTTTTTAAAATCATACATAATATTTAATTTATGTTTTATTTTCGTACTCCATCATTAAAATTTTAACGATAATGATGTTGATGTGTCACTATAAGATAATGTTACACAATCATTAAAAAATATTATGTAAACAATTTTGTTAATTTTATTTGGTTGTCTCACAAAACGTATATACTACTTTAAAATTTAAAAACCACTTAAATATCAATGATTAAAAAGAGTTAACATCTATTTTTTTTGTATTATTATTTTATTTTAAATGAATGAAATTCTGTTTTCTTTGTTATTTATGATTTCATAATACAAAAACGTTCTTTATATTTTTTTCCTATTTGGTTGTTCAACTTTTCTCAGTTGAAAATTTTAATTAAATTATCGAGTTTTTAACTTTTAATTTTATTTTAGTTAAAGGTATTTTTAAAAATAATATTTTTTAATACAATTTATATTTATGGTTTTATTCCAAATGGTTGTCCCTTGTTCCCATATGTAATGGGATAAGGGGAGGTAAGATAGTAGGCTGTCCCCAACACTAGGTTAAGAGCAACTTCCGTAGGAGACCTCCAAATTATGAAATGCCCTCCATGGGACTCGATCCCACGACCTCAAGGTTAAGAACCTTGTGCTCTACCAACTGAGCTGGATGGTTTTATTCCAAATGTCTATGTTTATTGTGCAACTTCATGAAATTTCATCTTTAAAAAATAAAAATTTAGACTCAATTCTAGATAATGTTATTATCGATTTATTTTGTTTCTTTAAATTTTTATGTGAACAAATGAAATTAAAGAATTTATAAATTTTTTCTTTTATTTGTATGACATTTTGATATATAATTTACATTGACAAAAACACTAAAATATTTTAGTTAATACACATATTTTTTTAAAAAGGCCCCTCATAAAGTAATGTTGAGTTTCACTGCCGACTATTTTATTATATATATTGATTTTTTAAATCGAATTAAGTTTATCAAATTTGAGTTGAATTAACTATATTTGTTTGATTTTCTATTAAAATTTAAATATAATTATTTTTAATGTTTTGATATTAAATTTTTTCAATTTAAATGACTCTTTCTAATTATATATAATATATAATATATGAATATATTTTTATATTCTTTTTTACATGCATAAGTAATATTTGTAATATTTTTTACATGCATAACTCTAAAACTATATATTATATTTTTAACATTGTTTTTAAAGAAAAATTTTGAGGAAAAATCAATGATGAAATTATAAAAAAATCAATGAATTGATGGTAATAAAAAAACTTATAAAGAGATATAGTTGAAAGGTCAATTTGAATAAAACATGTTTTTTTATATAAAAAATTATCGTCAAAAGAGAAATAATCTAATCAGGCTAAACCCTGTTTCTCTCTCTCTCTAAATTTTCACTCCAATTTTACTCAAATGAAAGGGGCAGAAAACCTTAAACAATAAATCACCACTAAAGTCACAACCTCAACCTCTCTCAATTTTCCTACACCTAATCTTTCCACATTATTAGCTATCTAGAAACAATAGAGAGAACAAATAAGTGAAGACTTAATCATGATGAAACTAAAACCATAATAAAATTTAAAAATAAGTTACATATAATTTTTGTCACACCCTAAAATATTGGATTAATGTTAATGATTTTAATTAATATTTTCAAGGGACCAATTTATGAGTTTTTTGGAAATTGATATGCGTTTTGCAAGATTTCTTTAAGTAGAAGGACTTAAGCAAGAATTTACCCTTCTTCTTTTGGTTTTTATAATTAAAATAAAATAAATGGGATAAGTATGTGGGGTTATATTAAAAGATTGTTTGATTTCATGAAGTTAATGGAAGTTAGTTGTTTCTTGAATTTTGAATTTGGTTTTGGATCTTTGGGTAATATAGAAGCTTAATAAAACTTAAAGATGAGTTGAAACTAAGAGATGGATGAATTAATGGTGAATTAGCAAAATGGGTTTTTAAAGGAATTGTTAGAAAATGATGAATATTTTGATTCTAAAGGAATATTTGACTTTTCAACGGTTTTAATAAAATGTTAGAAGTGTTAGAAAGGATTGAGAACATGTTTGAATAAGTGGTATGATTTTTAGTTTGAAGAGTTTTATGGAAGATTTTACATGTTAAAGGGATTTTAATGGATATAAGTTAGTGGTAATAATTGTAAATGAGTTTAAAGATATGAATAGAGTTTAAGTATGAGATTTAAGTGAAGTTGGGTAAATTTTCAAAGTGAAGCAGATGGATTCTTGGTAAGGGTATCGGTACTGGAAAAACATTATCGATACTATAAGGTTAAAATGTAAGGGAAGAGTATGAATATGATGAACAATGTCGATACTGATTGAAGTAGCATCAATACTGATGTGAAGGTATCGATACCAAGAGTAGGGTATCGATTTTATAATTGAAATCTGAATTCCAGAATGTCAAAATGGCATCGGTACTAAAGTGGGTATCGGTACCATAGAAGAGAAGTATCAGTACCGCAGGAAGAGTACCGATATTATTAAGTCTGAAATGTTAAATCAGGTGTTTCATTTTTTAAGTAAAGGTTAATTGATTAGACGAGAATTGCGCTACGATATTCATATTGGTCATGTAATGTGTAAATTCAATCGAAAGTAAGTGTTGAACGAAGGGACGTATAACGTTGGGGAGTTAAGTGAAAAAGAGCTTCTTAGGGCTTAAGTGAGGCAAAGGTGAGTGCATTCTTACTTACTTTGTATGAATTGGAGGACGACTTGCGATGAGCCAACCTCATATGTTTATGAACCAAATGAATTATTTTATGTGATTATTTTGTCTAAACGGTATTTTAAAAGTATTCACTACAGCAAAACTGTTCTGTAGCGGCGTTTTTAGCGGCGTTTGTTGATAAAATGCCACAAAAGTATTACATATAGCAGCGTTTTCAATCCAAACGCCATAAATTGAGACTTTAGCGGCGTTTTTTGTGAAAACGTTGCAATAAACGCCGCCATAGGATGGTATATAGTGGCGTTTTTTCAACAAACGTCGTAATTAATAATAGTTTTTGCGTCGTTTTTAGAAAAATGCCACAGAAAGGTTAAACAATAGCGGCGTTTATAGTAAAAACGCCGCAATATAGTAGACATGTAGCCTAAAACGCCGCAATATATTTAACATTTAGCGGCGTTTATACCAAAAACACCGCAATAGAGTGGTAAATTAGCGGCGTTTTTTGTATAAATGCCGTAAAAAACATGTGATATAGTGGCGTTTGTTAAAAACGCCGCAAAATGTTAAATATATTGTCCTCCCTTTTCTCCCACCCAAACCCTAAAATCATTTCAACTCTTCTTCCCTCATAGTTTCTTCTATGGTACAACAACGACCTTCACACGATTCCAAGCGACGTCGTCTTTTGTCTATCCCGGCGACCAAATCGGCCCTCTCACCGACGAACTATAACACAATTCCACGGTTTGATCCCTCTTATCACTAATGATCTTTTTCAATTTTGTTTTGGTTGGTATTCTGAAAATTGGGAAAACCCAGAAAGCTAACAGTTAACATATTTGAGAAAAAAAGAACAGGTCTTGCCTTGAGTAAGAGAAATTATCGTCGGAATGTCTACGTGGCGTCTTTGCTCTGACGATGGATCAAATTATCGCTGGGAGGCTATCGGTCTGGTTTCCACGTCGAAACTCGATGATGACTCGACATGAACTCATATTGCTCCATACCCTTCCATGGCCGATCTCCTACTTGAAGGTAAAATTCTATGAATCTTTATGCCGCTATATTTCCCTTTTTGTACGGTCACTCAAATTTCATAGATCGTACGCATGTAGGATCTTCGAAGCTTATTGAGAATGATGATAGAGAAATGGATAAATACCCTATGTTTAGAAACGAGTTTGGTAACTCTGTGGCGTTGAAAGAATCTTCAATTGCAAAAGCAGTATCGATCCTCAATGAAGACGATGTTGCCTCTACTGTTACTCCAAGTAAACGTTTATATCATCTGTTTAAATATATTTTAATGTTTGATTCAATTCCCAAGCACCTCCAATCAAGTTTTATACTGTAGGTGGAGGGTCGTTATCTGTTTCAAGTGAAGCACTGAAGCGCGCAAGGAGTCTTCTTGGTGAACCGGAGGTAGGAGATTTATTTGGTGAAATGGATGAAGAGTTTCTCCATATAGAATTTACACGGAGGAAAAACTTAACGATGCGTCTTCAAACAAGGAAAACAGTTTTCCTACGTCCTTTCCCCACGAAGGAGCAATGAAGACTAAATTGTATTGAACAATATGGTGAAGACTGTTTATGCATAAGTACTTTAATGTTTCTAAATTATAATGTATGTTGAAGACTGTTTATGCATAAGTACTTTAATGTTTCTAAATTATAATGTATGGTAAAGACTGTTTATGCATAAGTACTTTAATGTTTTTAAATAAAAACGCCGTAAAAATTGTTTATTAATGGCGTTTATAACAATCGCCGCAATAGGTGTACTATATAGAGGCGTTTTTTTACCAAACGCCGCAATAGATTTGAATTGTTATGGCGTTTCTAGACACAAACACCGCAATATATATGGACATTAGTTGCGTTTATTAAAAAAACGCCCCAATAGAGTATAACTCTAGCTGCGTTTGTATTACAAACGCTGCAATTGTTACTTAAATCCTGCGCGAGCATTTCCCCCTTCAAATCTTATTCTAAACCTAATTTCATCGAAAAACAATGCTCCCCGTTGCCATTCGAATCCGTCACCACCTACATCGTCGCTGGTGGTCTGTTCATCGACCCTTGTTTTCCCTCTTCCTTTCTCGACTTCGTTTCCCCTTTTAGAGATTTTTCTTCTTCCAGGAAAACGGCTCGCGTTGCTCGTAGGCAAAAGCGTGAGGCGGTTGCTGTTAAAGATGTATTTTTTTTGTCCGTTAGTTTCAGCAACGATGGGCTTGTTTCAGAACACAAGGAATTTCAGCTACAAAATGAAGTGAAGAACAACAACAACGGGGTGGGGGCTGAAGCCAAACGGAATGTTAGGTTAACGCAACGTAGCGCAGTCAATACTAAAAAGGATTTGTGGGCTGGAGCCATCGCGGCCATGGTTTCCAGGTAACCATAACGAATTTCGTTCGTAATTTAGCTACGCGCCTTTTCATATTTGCCTAGATTTCCCATGCATTTCTAATTATTCTTTGAAATATCATAGAACGTTTGTTGCTCCGTTAGAGAGATTAAAGCTGGAATATATAGTGTGTGGTGAACAAAGCAATATATTTGATCTTGTTAAGAAGATTGCTTTGACGCAAAGATTGTTTGGATTTTGGAAAGGGAACTTTATTAATGTTCTTCGCACGGCTCCATTCAAAGCTGTGAATTTTTATGCTTACGATACGTATAGGAAGCAATTGCTTACACTGTCTGGAAATGAGGAGACCACAAATTCTGAGAGATTCATTGCTGGTGCTGCAGCCGGCATCACTGCTACTGTTCTCTGCTTACCGCTTGATATTGTATGTTAAAACCTAATATTTTGTTCTTGACATTGTTCTATCTTCAATTTATTCTTAGTCGTGTAGCCATGTTCAGTTCTTGCCTGTATGCACTTCTATATTTTAAATTATGGGCAACTGTTATAAATAGCACATGGGCAGCTGCTAATCCTTTGTTTTATTGGAGGCTTAACAAAGTTGTAAGAGACCAATTTTAATGTTCTCTTCTAGTCTTAAGTCTTGGGAGTACAGTTGTTGGACCTAAAGATCAAGATAATTTCCGCTATTGTCATAGCACTGTCATGTCTAACATTATATTTTCTAACCAACCAAGGTTAAGGATAGTGGCTCCAGGGACTTCGTACTTTGTTAATTACTATAATCCTATATGGTAGCAAAGTGTTATTTGAGATTTCTACAGGATAACGAAGTTTGATTCTAGCGGAGAGTTTTTAACGCTTAAAGATATATTAAAAATGTGTGACATGTACTCAAACTAGATTGAAATATGATATGTTCACCAATTGAGGATTGCTATTTAGACGTGTCATTGCTTTCGTCATTGTGACTAGCTATACTCAGGAGGTCAATTTTGCTGACTATGAATAGTTTCATTTTGTTCATGTCATTCTGTAGATTTATTCTTCTTTTTCTAGGAGGGTAGTTTTTTATTATTTGTTTATTGTTGCGGTGCAGATCCTAACCAAGATAGTGGCACCAGGTGGAGAAGCCTTAGATGGTGTAATTGGTGCTTTTCGCCACATGATCCAAACTGAAGAGTTCTTTTCTCTCTACAAAGGTCTAGTGCCCTCTATTGTAAGCATGGCACCTTCAGCCACAGTATTCTATAGTGTGTATGATATGTTGAAATCAGCTTATCTGCGTTCCCCGGAGGGTAGGAAAATAATTCAGAACATGAGTCAAATAGGACAGGAGCTGAAAGCTTTGGATCAGGTAGAGTTGGGACCAATGAGGATGTTATTATATGGGGCTATGGATGGTGCTTGTGCCGAAGTTGCTACTTTCCCATTTGAAGTTGTGAGAAGACAGTTGCAATTGCAAGTCCAGGCAAGCAAAATGGGTTCACTGGCAACTGGTGTCAGGATCGTTGAACAAGGAATTTCTGCTCTCTATGCTGGGCTAATTCCCAGCTTGCTATAAGTAAGTGGATAAGCTTTTTAATAAAATCTCACTATTTTTTTCGCAAATGCTTTATGCTAATTATCCCTCTATAAGTTCATACATGAGGTCAAACAAACAATATAACACTAGAACATGACAGTTCATCTCACAAATATGTTTCTGTGCTGCTGTCTGAAGTTCTTTGAATTTGTTTATTTTCTACATATAAATATAAATATTACAACATAATTTACTATTGACTTGAAATAAAATATTAAAACATAGATCGTACAATATATTCATTGTCAAATAATTAAAAGTCTATGAACAAATCCTACAGTATATTCATCCTAATTTTTTTTTTAAATAACAGCCTATTCCTGCATGTCAAAACCCTAGATCGTATATGAATCTATAGGTGTTTGTTTATTATAGATATCATGCCGAGGAGAAAAATAACTGATTTGCGGGTTGTTCGAGCAGCAGCGGAAGCAGCTAGAGCAGCAGCGGAAGCAGAGAGAGAAGTAATGGCAGCACAGAGAGAGGCAGCGGCAGAACAAAGATAAGTAATATATCAGCAGAGATGTAAAGAATTTGAAAAACGACTCAATGATATGATGCTGATGATACAAAAATCGCAACCTTAGAATCCACCATCGTAGCCTCATTTATGTTATAAGCATTATGTTAATGTTACTGAACCGTGTTTAACTTAACTTATATTACGTTAATGAAAACTTTTATTTATTATATTGGATTTGATGTTATTGCTGTTTTGTTTGTTGGATAATGGAACAGGTTGGAAAAACAGATTTGGGGTATTAAGCATAACTTTAAGAACTGTTAAATTCTGTATTATTTAGCGGCGTTTGTAACAAAAAATGTTGCAATATACCATACATTTAGCGGCGTTTGTGATAAAAACACTGCGAAATCGCAAGACATATTGTGGCGTTTTCGACGAAAAGGCCGCTAAATCTCAAGACATATTATGCGGCGTTTGTAGGAAAACGCCGCTAAATATCAACATCTTCTGCGGCGTTTGTAGGAAAAACGCCGGTAAAAATAAACATCTACTGCGGCGTTTATGAAGAAAACGCGGCTAAACATCAACGCCTATTGCGGCGTTTGTCTGCCAAATGCCGTTAAATATCAACACCTATTGCGGCGTTTTTTTGCAAAACACCGCTAAATATCAATACCTTTTGCGGCGTTTGTTGAACGCCGCTATATGTTGTCACCTATTGCGGTGTTTTTTTGTTGAAAAACGCCGTAAACTTTAGCGGCGCTATTTTTAGCGGTGTTTGTCTTTACGCCGCAGTTGTTTTTAGCGACGCTTAAAAACGCCGCAACAAGCCACTTTTGCTGTAGTGATTGTTTCAATTTCATTGTTAATATATATATATTTTTATGTGAAATATTACAAGTATATGATTTAGGTGAATATATTTCATGAGAACAACTGATGATTTGAATAATTCTATATGAAGCAATATAAGTATAGGTTTTATGCGAAGAAATGATAAGTTAAGTAAGGTTAAATGAAATTTTATAAATAATAAATTTAAGTAATGTTGTGCGAAATAATATGAGTATATATGTTCTAGGTGAATATGTCATACGTGAAAAGTGTTATATGTGAAAAATGATCTACGTGAATATGATATATGTAAATGTGTTCTATGTGAAAATGTCTATGTGAACAAGTATTAAGTAACTGAAGTCTATGAATAAAATACACTTAAATAATAAAATGAGAAATAATTATGTGGTTAAAGCCCAAGGTATATGTACGAGAATTAGAGGTATAATTGGCATGCAAGAGTCGAGGGTTCTATGTGGTCCTTCGGGACAAATCTATGTGGCACTTCGGTGTAAATTATGTGAGCAGTGGCGGCTGTATTAGTGCACAATCTCAATGTACTCGCATACATTGAGTTCTCAGCGATATACGTTGGGCTAATAAAACAAACTTGATATAATTTGAACAATGAGTAACAATAATAAAATGTTAATGAAGTGTATATTGGTTTTATACAAAATGTTTCAAAGGAATGTATAAGCAAGTGTCAAATGCACATAAATTAACCAATATGTAATGGTATATGCTATAAGTTAGTGGTGTTATAATAGTTAATGATTCTTTTGGAAACTTTTTCATAATTGTTTTATTATTTTACTATACTCAGTATTGCCTCACTAAGTCATAGACTTAGCGTGTGATTGTTTTTACACGTAGGTTTGGAGACATCAATATAGTAAGCATGGACAGGACATCATAACTTTGGAGGATATCATATTAGAGTAAACTAAATAGTATTTGATTTGATTGTTGACATGTACTAAAATGTGTAAGTCATAGATCCTCTAATATGTTTGCAACTATGTTTTGTAAAATTTTGTTTTCCTTGCAAAGTTTTCGTTGTAATTTAAATGAGTCAAAGAGTTTTAAAAGTTAATGTGACACCTTAAAGTCATATCCGGGTCGGGTACAGATCGGGTACGGGTCTGGGTGTTACTCGAAAGTAACCATTTATGTATGAAATTATTCAAAATTATTGAATTATATGAGAATACATAATCGAATGAAAGGACTAAAAAATCATTGAGTACTAAAAAGACCTAAATACCCTCATGACCTAGAATTAAATGAATGTTGTCATAACCATTTTAAAACAAAAATAATCGAATTAAAAATAATTATGAATTTGTTTTAAGAAAATGAGATTTTGAATCAATGTAAAATTTGGAGTCACCATCAACCTTTGGTTTAGGTAGGTCGAATACCTAAAAATGTTGTTTAAAATAATTTTAAGAAAAACAATTTTAAGGACACAAATTGGTTTGCGTTTACAAAAGATTCATTTTTAAGAGTTCGAGAGTCAATTACGTGTGGGGAAGTGTAAGCACCCTCATAACGCCCAAAATTTGTACCTAATCATTTATATGTCATCATAATGATGGAATTTATAAATTCAAATCAAAATTAAAATATGATCATTTTATTAAAATTGATTAATTTATCTCAAGTTCACTTTTTGTTTGAATGTCGTCGAATCGCACTTCTCCTATAGAGTGGTGCTTTTCACGCCCATTCTACGACGAGCGTTCTTGAAAATAATTTCGAGAAAAAGGTGTTTGTAACATAAATAAATAAATAAATGATAAAATAAAAAAAATAAGACTGAAAATATGAAACAACAAAACAATTATACATGTGTACATATTTTAAATATGTATAATATTTTAAATATACATGAATATGGGGTAATAATCAAAGTATAATTTATCCAAAAAATAATAATCAAAGTATACAATGATGCAATAATACAAGGATTAACATATAAATAAAAAAATAAATAAGGACCAAATCAGAACAATGAAAAATATAGGCCCAAAATAAAATAAATCAAACAGAAGTAAATTTACAAGGACTAGGTACATAAATAATACACGAAATAATAAATAGTGACTGAAATACATAGTAAAACTAGGAGGATCTAAAGCATAAATAGTACATTTTCTAAACATAACAACACTAAGGACTAAAATAAAATAAATCTACAATTAACTACTCAGATCAGGCATTTAATCAAAGCTTATTATGGAGCATGCAGTAACTAAAATATAAACGTGGCAAAATTAAAAGGATTGAAAGCAAAAATAACCCATGTTCATTGAAGACCAAATTGCAAGGATTACAAAGTTAGAAGGACCTGGAATGTTGTTCACCCACGCGAGTTTGGCATGATTGCCCTAACCCATAAAACTACGCCGTTTTGGTCGGCATATATAAGCCCGATTATAGAGTTTTTTTTCTCACCCTCTCTCATTTTTCATTTTATGATTTTAAAAGAGAGAAAGAAATTCTATGTTTTCTCTTGTCAAGGGGGTCACCTATCGTTCACTGGTGGCATTCTTCCGTCGTCGGCCACCACTGTCGGTGGTCAAAAAATCCCAAAATACCCCAAAAATATTCCCTTTTCCTCCTAAGCCCGAATCTTAGGCTACTTTTGCCTAAAACTCACCATCTGAGTCTAGATCTAACAAGGAAAATCGAAGAGTCTACCTTCCTCCGCTATCGATCTAACCGTCCGATGAAGCGCTCGACAAGTTATGTTGTTCCTCGCTCCCCGAAGAAGAATCTGACTAGATAGATTCTCCATCTGAGGCTTCAAACCAAAGTAAAGACTATTTTTTGTGTTTCGATTTTTTTTGAATTGTTGCTGTTTTTTTCAAACCCTCTGTCTCTTCTCTTTTTTCATGCTTTATAAGATAAAAAACCTTGTTGGAGACTCCAGTAACGTCCATCAGCCACTTGCTCTGACCGTCATAATTTTTTAAATGGATGTCATCATTTTCTTGATTTTTTTTTCTGATTTTCATTTGAACCGAGGGTGGGCTCTAACAGTGGCACAGTGATGGTCCAATCACGTCATGGTTTTCGAAGTAACACATAATAAGATTGAAGTCCTTGAATCTTTCTTTGGTTGTGATTTTCTAAGAAGATAAAATTCTCTTGAGTATAAACTCTCTGATGAGGATGAGAGAAAAACATGAGATTATTTATTTCTTGAGGACTATAACCCTTTATATATTTACATGACACTTTTAATATCTTATAAATTTATAATATAATTGGTCACTTAATTTATGTCATATTTTATGAAAACAATATATATTATAACTATGTTTCCATAAGTATAGATTTTTAATCCAACAAATATTGGTTACTGCAATTGAATTCTAAAATCTTTGAGATGGTCATAGGAAAATACTATGCCTCTATTTCATCATGGCGTTGGGATTAAAAGCAGTAGTTGTAGAGTCAGTTTCGAATCTTAATATTGGAAGTGTTGACATTTATGGTTAATTCCGCGGTTTCATTATCACATAATTTAATGCGTTTAGTGCCTTCCTCTCAAATCTTCACCTAAACCGACTAGGCGTAAGACCTTAAAACATCTACTGATTGGCTCTGCAGATTTTAATCAAACTAAAGAAGTAACTTTGGTTTTAACCAAATTATCAAATATAGT